ACACTCTAAAAAATGCTGTGTTAAATACAACCCAATTGCTGGGTTTGTCCCTATTTTACCCAGCACTGGGTTGTATTTAACACAGCATTTTTTAGAGTGTACCAAAGCACAATGCTTATTGCGATTCGTAGGATGGGAAGTGCCTTCAAAGTTCCGTCCATTAACTGAAAACAGGCTAGGATAATCGATTCTTGGGATTTAAGAATCAATATCGTTTCGTAAAAATGAGAATCGATTAAATTCGAGATATTGATATTTTTTACCCAGCCCTAGTTACCTTGCGTAATGGGTAGATTGGTTATGAAGTCAATGGATATGTGGGACCAAGGTCGTTGGGCTGTAGGAAGAGGCTGAAGAAGGCCTGCCGAGGTTGTCTAGATGGCTTTGAGATGACACAACTGACTGTTATTTACAAACTGGGATGTGTCCGCATTCATGGAGTCCCACCAAAATTGGTTCTGTAGCAGTCGAAGGGTGGCAGAAATACCAGGGTGTCCGGAGCTAAGGGATGAATGAACCCAGTATTGAACCACAACACAAAAGTGTTCCCCGGCGAACATTCTGGAGGAGCTGGTTCTTGTATCTGCCATAATATCTCATTGAACTGAAGCAAGAATGATAGTGGGAGGAAGAATGGGTTCAGTTGAACACTTTTGGATGGTGTGGTTGAATTGACGGGAGAGGGCATCTGCCTTGGTGTTCTTGGTGCCTTGGTCAGTAAGTGATGGAGAACTTGAATCGAGTGAAGAACAGGGCCCACCTGGCTTGCCTGGGATTTAGTCTTTTAGCTGAGAGCAAGTACTCTAGATATCTGTGATCTGTTAAAAAAAAAAAAAAAAAAAAATTCGGGGGGCCCTTTAGCTCTTTGTGTATGTGAATCTAACCTGCACTGCATGAAGAGGAAGAAACAAATGTCTCATGTAGAAAAACATTGTTATGTTCTGAATGAACATATAGGACTAGTTCATTTTTATTCTTATATTATTTAGAAATATATTCTGCTCTTCTATTAGTACCAGCTCTTGTTGTGTTTCCCTTTTCATATGAAAATAATTAAAAGATGTCTGGGTCCCTCGAACCAGTGACACCATTCCACAAAGGCTGCCTTCATGGCTAGAAGTTCTCGGTTGCCCACAACATTGTTACGTTCTATGTAACTACGTTCACATCATAGTCAATTTATTGGAAAAGAAGGCACAAGGTTCAAGCTTTGATGGTGTTCCATGAAGTTGTGACAGAATTTCTCCTATCCCTGGGCTTGAAGCATCGATCTCTACCACAAATGGAAGTCTGGGATCAGGGTTTTGCAGTATAGGAGCGGACGTAAAACATTGCTAAAGATCCCGAAACGCCTGGGTTGCTGCTGAGGACCATTTGAGACTTGTTCCCCCTCCTCGAAGCATTGAAGTGAGGGGGAGCTGTGATCAGATTGACGTTTCTAATTAACCGTTGATAGAAGTTAGCGAATCCCAGAAACTGCTGCAGTTGCTTCATAGGCCGAGGCCAGTTTACGATGGCTTTTACTTTGGCATCATCCATGGCGACTCCTTCAGGACTAATGACTTTGGCATATAAATGGTTATCAACATTGTAGAACAGCTCTCTCGTGGGCCACATGCTCTTCTATGGAGTTTGAGTAGATAAAGGTGTCATTAATTTACACTATCACCCAACGGTTAAGTATGTTGCGGAAGATGTTGTTGATGAATTCCTGGAACACAGACAGATTATTAGCCAATCCAAAGTGCATAAAAAGATATTCTTAGTGCCCATTGCTTGTGGAGAAGACAGTCTCTGTGAGGAATGCTGAGACGCATTAGCGTGAGGATC